TTCCTGCCTATGCAGGGGGTCGGACTCGATGATCTATTGAGGTCCCTTCCGACCCTAACATCCATGAATCTATGAATCTATAAGATGTGGCCTCACCAGTGCTGAATAGAGGGGAATAATCACTTCCCTTGACCTGCTGGCAACACTCCTACCAATGCAGCCCAGTATGCTGTTAGCCTTCTTGGCAACAAGGGCATACTGCTGGCTCATATTCACCTTACTGTCCACTTTAACCCCAAGTCCTTTTCTGCAGAGCTGCTGCCCAGCCAGGCAGCCCCCAGCCAGTATCAGTACATGGGATTGGTTTAATCCAAAGTGCAGGATTTTATGCTTGTCCTTATTTAACCTTATGAGATTTCTTTTGGTCCCATCCTCCAATTTGTCTAGGCCTCACTGAATCCTAACCCTACTCTCCAACGTATCTACATATCTACTACTTCCCCAGCAAATTTGCTGAGGGTGCACTCTATGCCATCTTCCAGGTCATTGATGAAGTTATTGAAAAAAGACAGCCCCAGGACTGACCCCTGGAGCACTTCACTTGACACTGGCTGCCACCTGGACCTCAAGCCATTGACTACTAGCCTCTGAGCCCAATGATCCATGCAGTTTTCTATCCACCTTACAGTCCATTCATCCAACCTGTACTTCCTTAGCATGCCTGCAAGACAGTTGGTTGTACTGTACCAGGACATTAGTATTGCCAGATAATGAAGTGGCAAAGTTATAACAATGCACCCACACTAGCTCTTGTACCAATGCAGGTACATCAGGAAATATCTATACCCTTAATCAAAACAATTACATCAGTGCAAGAGTTGTAGACAGGCCAGGCCTGAGAGACTTGTGCAGTCTCACAGAGATGACTAAGAATGAGAATACACCTCAAGAATTCTGAAATGCAAATTCTCTCACACTGTTTTCCCTTCTGTTCCATCTCCAAACAGTAGCCAATATGCCCAGAGGCCCCATTTAAGAAGATTATTCCTGAAGTAGTTTTGGTGGCAATTCTTTTAAATGATGCGGCAGCATCTTAACTTCATCAGGCCTTTCAACTTAATCAACTATTTTGCTATTGTTTCGACTAAAATGTTAAATTAAAGTCTTACCGAGGTCTGGTTAGTAACCTCTGAAAGCAAACCAACTCCAAGCCAGTTTGGGGACAAGGAACAAATTAAATGAGGCTCTCTGGAGTTTGGAACAGCAATCAAAGAACAATGCTCAATGTCCTTTCTGAAGGTTTTGAGCTAAACTCTGATCTCAGTTACCTAGTTATATGTGTAGAGTAATACAACTTAAGTCAATTCAGATTTATCCCAGTGTAAGCTACAGAAAAAGTCTGACCTAAGTTATTAAGATCTCTCATTTGTGTTGTTTTCCTCTGGGATGGGCTTTTGGCAAATGTGGCATCCAGAGGAGGTCTCTTTGGTTACACCGCCACAGCCGAAACAAATTTATGAGCTAGTATAAGGGACCAGATATTCACTCCCAAGTGCTCTCTCCACACCCCATTTCCCTCCTACTTCCTGTCTTATGGGAAGAGCAATATAAAATGGGTACAAGCCTCCCTTTCCCCTTTCTGCTGTACAATACATATCAAACGGATGCTGTCAGATCACAAGGCCTGGGCTTCCCTCCCAGAAGTCCAGATCCTCTCAATATTTAGTTCCTTTATGCCCAATACTTGCCAACATAATTCTGCCCCAGGCTGCAACCATGCCATCTCACTGTAATCATAATATCATAGTACTTAGGGTCGGAAGGGACCTAAACAGATCATCAGGTCCGACCCCCTGCCCCAGGCAGGAATGGGTGCCGGGATCATATCACCCCAGCCAACTGGATCTTGTAATCAACTGGATCTCATAAAAACATTGTGTAATTGCATGTCAGTGGGTTTACACAGCTGTGGCAAGGCTGGACTGTTCCCCAAGCAATTTTATCTCATGACTCTTTAATCCAAAATGCATTTAATCCCTGGAGCAAGGACTAGAACCCAGATCTCTCACATCCCAGGGGAGCGTCCTCATTACTAGGCTACAGAGTCACACTCCCTCCTACCTGCTGTCTCACTGGCCCCATTAATCTTGCTGCACAATGATACAGTTTCAACAAACTGGGTGGAAAATAGTATCAGCCCAACCCAGCCCAGCCCTGCCTCTAATTTGGCAGCTTACCACGCTCCTGGGAGGAGTGTGGAGAAATATGGGTTCCCAATCCTCAGGCTAAACAGGGCCTGGAACCCAGTTTTACCACTTCAAATGTGCTTGTCACTGCTCTATTACATGAAAGGTACATACCTAGGAGCCCCTCTCTCATCCCTCTGTGTTTACAATCGTGGCTACTGTGCTTTGTGCTGAACTCAGTGATATTAGCGTCAGCCATAGTCTGAGTACACTGATCAGATCAGGTGCCTCAGATGAGGCAAACACAAGGACTGCCTAAATTTATCAGGCATCAGATTGACATGCTCAACACAGCCAAAATGGCAGCTGTCCTGGACATGCTCAGTAGCAGCACCGTAACTACTTAAGTAACTTAAATGGAAAACGTAAGTGCCTAGAGACTCTCAGGTGCCTACACAGCTGAATGGGGGTTTTGTGGCTTGCACTCTGGGACCTGGGTGCCCATATTCCCCTGAAGTTATATTTTAGGCACCAAGGTTCTTCTGTGGATGTGGCTGGATCCAAGTCTCTTCCCCCAGAACTGGAGCAAAGAGCAGTTAATGCCTAAGGTAAAGTGTTTGGGGGGTTTTAACGGTTAAGAGGAAAAATCAGAGATTTGACTACAGGGATGGGTTGCCTTCTCTTCCCTTTCAGCTATCAAAGCTCAAGAGCCCCTCACCTCAGAGGCAGAATAATACTAAACCCATTTCTTGCCCACCCCTCCCTTATACCATCAGTTCCAGAAATTCTGATTCCTCCAGCCAAATGCAACCACTTGAACAAACTTGCTCACGTGATGTTCTCAGGTAGCAAATAAAGCAAAATTTCAAAAACTACATCTTCCTACCTTTCTTTGCGGCTGCCCAGCTTGCGGGCTGTATACTGGTCCCCATAGTCAACTAGGGAAAGGTGTCGGGAAAACACAGTAACTTTGTTGCCTATGAACAAATCCTCAAGGTGTAAGCCATCGTATTTAGTGCGCTTCAGAAAGGTGCGATGGTTCTTCACGTCATACTGCAGAGAAAGACATGGTCACCAAATAGCAGGAGCAGGTAAGTCAGCTGTGAGCAAATATAAAATAAATTCTCTTCTATTTTGGGAAGTCTCAAAAATATTATGGGATCCACAGATGCTCAGAAGATGAAGCCAATATTATGAATTTGTTCCACTTTAACTATCTCTCCCTTGGGCTGACAAGTATCTAAGACTTTTTCTGTTTCATTACTTGCTTGTGTTATTTTAAGTTGCAGTAACTGCTCCTGATGCCTCCTGGGTATCTCAGTCCAATCTGAATTATAGGGAGTCTCAGGGACATTTTCCTCAGGCGAACCACACCGTTTCAGACGGATAGGCCATACCAGAACTGCTTGCAACAGGCTGTAACAGGCATCTTCAGGGCATCATTTCAATGATACTAAACTAACCATTTGTACTATACATGAGTCAAAATTAGACACGAATGGCTGGTCTACACAGTGGGTTTGAAACACTGGCTACCTAGAACCACAGGCTGAATTTCCTAGCTTTGTCAGCTCAATTCTTCATCTTTCTCAGAAAGGTGCAAGACGTTTCATGCAGTCTACTAGGTAGGCTAGCCAAGTATTAGAGGAGATCTTAAAAACAACAGGTTCCTTTGGCTGCATGTAGATACTAACACTTTCAAGACATTTATGAAAGGAAGGGTTTGTCCTCACTCAGAACTTCCTCTTCCCAATACTGTGTTATGTACTGCCCATCTCCACAATGCTTTAGTAGTGTTAAAATAGAAAACCTATTCCCCTTCCCTTCCTACCCCCTCCCCGCCTCAAAGTTTTGGCCTTTTTTCTTTCAGATGCAAAAATAATCTTTTGGATGTTATGAGCCATTTGGGTACATTTCTCCCTTGTGTTTTATCATGAATGGAAGCATCAGAAATCCCTCCGGGCAGCCTGCTCTCATGTGATACACAGCCCCATTCTTTATACTGCAAAACAGATGAACAGTTCTGATAAACACCCATTTTTGGAGGGGCTGCAAGCCCCCTCCCCAGACTCTGGAGCTCTGCATATTTCCTCATCAGGAGTCAGAATAAAGCTTCTTTTTCCTTTTTTATGTGTGTTCTGATTTCATATTCTGTGTTCAAATACACGAGTTGAAGAATTCTATGGTTTATTTTTGCCTGGACTTGTTCAAATTCAACTATATTAATACTTTTCAAAACCCTGATACCTGCATGTTTCTTAGGCCAGTGGTTCTCAACCTTTTTTGTACCCAGACCCATTTGTAAACATCAATGACCAGTCCCAATGCATTGCCCCTCACTCCCAACCCATTGCCCCCAGGCCCAGCCCCACAGTGTGGGGCAGGGGGTGGGTATGTGGGGCTGGGGGTCTCCAAGCGGCTTCTTCTGGAGTTCTGCCAGCCTGCAAAGGAAAAACTGTTTCCCATGTTTTTCCCCCTTTAGAGGAGAATCCATTTTTAAAGTTCGCTGATCCACTTTTAAAGATTGTCCGTGACCCTTTCATATATTCTTGCAACCCACTTTTGGGTTGCAACCCACGGGTTGAGAAATGCTGCCTTAGGCCAATTCAATCAGAGCTGCTAGGCTAGTACATTCCATTTATTTTTCACTCCTCAAGAAACAGAAGGAACATAATGAAAAAAAGCCTTTGGAAAATTTTATTCCCTCATCCACCTGTGTTCGGGGGGGG